GGATAAGCAACTTGATTTATAGAGGTAGATTTAGAAGATTGTTTAACTCATCCCAATTTACATAGATGAAATCTTGAGAAGATTTCTTATGGAGAAATTGGTTTACTCTTAAGCGGTATGTTGGAAAGGTTCCAAACGTGAAGCAACCGTTGATTCAATAGTAGAAACCTAATACATGGATACTTCAGAAGTGGCAAAGAGTTGCAATATGGATCATGATGTTCATAAATGAACTTGGAGTAGTTCCTGATATTGTTGATCACATACAATAGTATTGTGATAACAATAGAGCCATTGCGAAAGTAAAGGAATTAAGGTCTCATTAATGATCCAAACATGTATCAAGGCGGTATAATCTCATCAAAGAGATAAATACATAGAAATGACGTAAAGAGAAGAGCAAATTTCCACATTTAATAATATTGCAGATCCACTGACAAAGAGTTGTCGTAGTATAAACATGATCGTCATGTAGACTTATGATATTTGATACATAAGTGATTGAATCTAGTGCAGTGGGATTTTGTAAGTATTATGCCCTAACTCCAATCAACTTTGGACATAAATACTTATATATATATATATATAATTAATGCAATTAAACGACAGATCTATTATTTAATTAATAGACAATTAAATAAATAATAGAGTCCGTAGATTTAAATCTTTGTAATTTGTTAATTACAAGGAGTTGTGATTGTGAGATACAAATTACATCTGATTGAATCTTAAATAATCCGTGGTCGTAAGTAATAACGAGATACATATATCGTTATTACGGATAGACCATCACGTGTGGCATTTCTTACTTGTGAAGTAAGTAGCTGATCTCACAAGCTAAAGTGTGGAGACACTTAAATGAACACGTTGATATTTTGTTATAGAACAAAACGTTGGAGACCCGTCGAGAGATTTCACATGGATAACTATTTGAGTGTCAGTGGTTAATTTCTAACGTTCAGTAGTGGAATTGGTCCTTTGACTTGAGGTCGTCATGGTTCCTTATATGAGGACAGTCATACTTTGGCGGTGTTGGATGTTGCTCTGAAAAGGGCCGCTAATACGACATCGTTCCGGTACGTCAAGAATCGTATGAAGGTTGTGATTGATCAATAAAGGATTCGTCACTTTTAGATAGTAAGAGATTATGATCTGCGTTTCATTCAATTAAGTCGATAACGAAATCCTTGGTCAAGGTGTAGTCATAAGTCGAAAATGAGTTTTTGACTTATATTGACTTAATAGTGGAGTGAAAGATATGATCGATGATCGAGATTGACACAATTCCACATCTCGTAATTGATCGGATCATATTGACGAAGGGATTATAGTTTCACGGTAAACGAAAGAATTTGATTTTGTCATACCACGTGACATTTCCCGTCACATGTATTGCCCTGACACATTGCTAGATGTCAATCAGGGACGGCGAGTGTGAATTGACGATAAATTAAAAGGGTGTTTTAATTTATCAATTTTGATTAGATCAAAATAATATTTCACGTCGTTAGGCATCGTGGTCGGGTACCTAATGGGTCGCACACAAAAGAGAATTGGAAGATTGCAAATTGCCAATTGGTTAATTTAACAATCGTTGGATAAATTAATTAATTGGATTTGTTATTTATATTCCCGAATTAATTAATTGGATTAATTAATTCACGGACCGGGTTTAATTAATTTGATTAATTAAATATTGGATCGGACCGGACCGAACCGAGCCCGTTTGAGTTTATATAAATACATAGTTAGGGTTTGAGGTCTATATGGTTTTCATTATTTTTGCTGGCACAAGAGAAAACCCTAAAAGCTGCAATCTTATTCTCTGTGTGGATCACCGTTGGAGGCTGGACAATTGGACAGCTGTGATGGCGAATCAAGGTTGATGGAACCAAAAGAAAAGCAAAATGATTGCAGAATTCTTCAAAGGTACAATTCTTATCACAATTTCTATCTAAACACAAAGGCGATTCTTGATGGGAATCGAAAATTATTTTAAATTTCGCTGTGCATGTATAAGTAGATTCCCAACACATATGAGTTTTGTAGTGATAATGTTAAAGAAACTTGGATCATTGCTCCCCAATCTATGTTCTAGTAACATGTTGGTCCTCATATTATAAAAAAGACCAAATTTATCCCTAACTTTTCGATATTGTTACACTAATTATAGGATTAGTTTAAATCTTCTTTAAATTGTCATGCAACCTTACAAAAAATATGTCTCATTTCAAATTTTTGACGTCAAATTTATTTAAAAGTAAAACTAACTTTATAAAGTTGAATATTTGAGTATCATGTGATGTTTTAGTCCCTGTTTGATGTAGATCTAAAAAGTTGATGAAAAACTTAAGTCAAAATCAACGATTAATTTTAACTAGCATTTCATGGGATTCAAAATTTTTCTACCACACATTTTATTTTACTTTTATCGAAACCTATTAATAGGTCATTTGACATGACTTTTGCTTTCTACAGAAGATTTTTTAAAGGAAGCTACATTAAATTTTGTTTGAAAAATTATTTTTTACTTTTTTCAAAAGTGTTTTTAAAGGAAGTCACATTAGATCGATTTTTGTTAAAAGCTATTCTAACTACCAAAAATACTTTCGTAAAATTATTTAAACAAGTTAAAAAATAGATTTTGGATCTCAAAAGCTCTTTTTGACTAAGCCATGCCAAACAGGCCCAAAAAATCCTATTTATTCTACTCAAAACATGGGCTTAACAAAGATCTGGTCATTTTCTCTTATTGAGAAATAGGAGTGGGCATTTTTTTCAGAACCGATGGAATCGTTTAGAACTAGTCGGTTCGGTTTCGGATCTTCTAAAAAACATTTTGATTTCGGGACAAATTTTTAAGAACTGATCGGTTCTGGTCCGGTTCTCGTTTCTAGTATCGGAACTACGAGAACCAGACAGTTCTCATTGAATTTTTTTTTTGGGTAAAATATATGACTCAATCTCCAACACTTTTATAAAAAATAATCGTGTTCTTTCTTAATTTTAGACTCGAGCACTTTCTTTTTTCTCTTTGATTCTTTCCTTGTCTTTTCTTATAATTCCTTGATTAATTGATTTTCAAACCAAATTAGAATATTGGGTAAATCTATACCTAAATAAATTTATTTACAATATATAATTTTATTTATAAGATGCGAAATTTTTATTTTGTTTTTACTTTGGTTACATAATTTTTATTTTGTTTTCACTTTGTAAATCTATACGTAAATAAATTTTTGAATAATATGTTCGATTCTTCTATATTTTGTTAAAAGTATCACGTTGGTAGCATTTTTAGACTTTTATTTGTGAACATTTTATTTTGACATTTTCAATGTATAGAATCGGACCGGACCGAATTGGAACTGATTGGTTCGGTTCCATAGTTAGCTATGGAACCAATGGTTCCATTTCTAAAATTCTCATTGGTATTCGATTCGGTTCTATTTTCTTTGAATCGGCCAAATCGAACCGCGCCCACTCCTATTGAGAAAGTTGGATTATTTTAAACCAAGGCAATAGATTGTTGAGAAAGTTGGACTAATTTGAAACAAGTAGAAATTAGCAGTGGTCCCTAACTTTTTATTTTTTTTGCAAACTTTACCCTAACTTTCATTTTGTACCAGCTATAGTCTCAAACCTTTCAAAAATATACATTTGGGGTCTAAATGGATAAAAACTGTTCATTTGACCGTTAGTTGACCTGGAATATATAAAAATTGGATATTTTAACTATTTTAAGTAGGGGCATTTTAGTCAATCTCATAATAACTTTATATTTTCAATAAAAGTACATAAAAAATTAAAAAAAATAAAAAAATCAAACTAATCTTCTTCACCCTCCCCAACCCCAAAATCGAACCCAAAATCAAAAAATTCACCGTCGTCGCCACCACCACCAATCACAACCACCACTACAACCACAACCATATTTGGGCCTACTTTGAATCACTTAAATACTAACCAACTATCGTCCAAATCACCGAATATCCATATCATTGGAAAGTCTTCACTTCCTTTTTTACAACCTACCCAGCCACCAGCCACAACTCTGGTGGATTTGCCCAAAAATTCGACCCAAAATAGGCTGTCACACACCAAAAAATGGATGGAATCATCACCTACGAAGACATCCATGCCAAACCCACCTTCCAAGTCAACCAAGCACCTCAATATGCACCTATTGATACCCTTGTAACATCAAACAAAGCTGTAAATCCAAATCTACCATCAATTATTCAAACAACTAAAAGTTTCTGAAGACTTTCCTTTTGTTCCAAACTAATTTTGGAGCAAACTATTGATTCATAATCTCCAATGGCTACCATTGCCACTGGTACAGTAGTTGGACAGGTAGGTAGTCAATTTCATTCATGAACTTTTTTTGGGTATTGGGGTAGGACTTCCCAATACAGTTATGGAGTGTGGTGATATAATTTATAGAAGCACACTGCCATGATCAGAGAGGATCATTGTTATTGTCCCTAGTGTGATTTTAGCATTGGGTACTCTTTCATATATAGGCGTAGACAGTGATTTTTCTTGCGAAAATTACAGTACATATTTCGAGCAAGCATGGACAGAGAATAGAGGTTGTGGTGGGGGTGGCTGGTTGTGATGGTGTTTTCTGGTGAAGAGATGAAGGAGATGACATCGATGATGGATTTGGGGGTAGGGTTTGGGGTTGGTAGTAGATTTTTTTACTTTTCTCTTGTTTCTATTTTAATTGTTAATATTTAGAAAAATACAAAGTATTATTATGCTCTTTTTTAGTTTGGACCAAATTGGTCAAATTTTGACTTTTCTAGTCAATTAACGATAAAATGGATGTTTTTCGTCTGTTTGGACCACAGGTACATATTTTTGAAAGGTTCATGGGTGGCACGGTAAACATTAGGGCAAAATTTGTAAAAAAGTGAAAGGTTAGGGATCGCTGCCGCAATTTTCTCTTGAAACTAAAGGCAATATATTGGGTAACCGATTCTTCGATATTTCTTTTTCTAATTTGTAGAAGAAATCGTCGATGGTAAAATTAAGACCACGAACTGAGTCGACCATCATTCACCAATCAGGAATCACCATTACGGTATCAAGTAATCATCAGTAGATCCTGTTGTTTCAGTCCACCCTTCCCTTTTTCTCTCTCATTTCAGTCGTGCTGTGGAAGTTCCAGTTTGTAGAAAACTCTAATTTTCTAAATCTTTACCAGGTAAACTTCAAATCTTGCTTTTCTGCCTTGTCGTTGACCAGAGACTACTACTACAGTGCTATTGCACATCATCTTATCTTATCCAAGATTTTTGGGTTTGTTTTTTGAATTATTGACTTGTCGGTCCTTTGAATTTGGGAGTTTTAATGAAAGGCATCTTTCTTGAGTTTCAATATTTAGTTGAGAAATTGTTCTCCTATTTCCTTTTCTTGGTGTTTGCCTCGTTAATTAATTTTTTTTTCATACTTCTGCCAAATATTGATTGCTTAGATTTGTAAATTTCCCAAATTGGTTGGTAGCGATTTGATTAGCTCTTATTTGGCAGGAGTTGTATTCAGTTTGTGGATATTGAGATTAGTTTTGGCATTTTTGCATATGGGTTCATTTCAAAATATTGTTTATTATTGCTGTGTATCGAAGGGTGGTCGAGTTTTGTACGCATATAATGGTGCAGACCATGAGACTGAGAACTTGGCTGCATTGTGTTTGGAGATGACTCCTCCCTATCACAGATGGTATTTTCAGACCATGGAGAAGAAAACCTTTGGGTTCTTGATGGAGGATGGCTATGTGTATTTTGCTATAGTGAATGAGAGTCTTGGCAACAGGGGAGTTCTTCGGTTTCTAGAAAATTTGAAGGATGAATTTAGGAAGTTGGCAAAAAGAGGTTCAAATAGGAGTATGTCTAATCTGAGTTCTGTGTGTTTACAAGAACAATTGGTGCCCGCTATTCAACGAATGGTTGCCTCATTGGAGCAACTCTCAGTTACAGGGTCTAAGTGGCCGGATGAGACTAAGGAGCTCTCTCCTTCGCCATGTAACAATGCCAATGGTCAGATAGAGACCAGTACTTCTACAAAAGCCCCTTTACTGGGAAAGCCGAGCAAGCAAGAGAGAAAGCAAATGAAAGAACATATAATTGCTATGAGACATATTGAATTGGAGGAACATCGAAGATCTACAGATAGAGTCAAGGTTGATCCAGGAGCTATGGACTTTAACGACCAAGGTTCAACAGTTGCTCCAGTCTCATTACAAAAGGATATTGGATCAATGAGGAGAAGGTCTAGCTCTCAAAACTTGCAAAAGAAGTGGTGTCGCCTAGTGCGGATTGTTCTTGCCATTGATGCTCTAGTGTGTCTTGTGTTACTTGCAATTTGGTTAGGAATATGCGGTGGTGTGAAGTGCATTCGTTAAGTAGTCTGACTTTGAGCTTTATAAGAGCATCTCCAATTGTGGTGTACAATTATGTGTAAATTGGTATTTCTAAAATTACTTTTGCATCCTCATTTACATTCCAATGAATTCATTTTGCTCCAATGGAAAGATCTAAATCTACTTTTGGGCTCTTGTGGATGTAAATACAAATTGCATTTTTTTTGCATCTCTACATTGGAGAGGTTTTTGGCTGCTTTGAAGATCTAAATCATAATTTAGATATATTTTATACCACGATTGGAGATGCTCTAATCATCTTGAATGGAAGCTAGAGATTCCATTTCAAGATTATAAAGCTTTGTTTGGCAAAAAAGTCTCCTTTGTATACAGCTGGCCATATCTTGATGAACAAAGTGCTTTATGTATATCTAAAAGGTATGAGCTTCAAATTTCAGGTTATGGCATCATCTTTCCACTATCTATTTTACAGTTATCATATTTTTACCCAAGCATACATGGGTATGGTTTCAAGGAAGAGTTTGGAGGCACAGTGATTGGCTTCACACATTGCATGCTTCATTTACATATCAATTTTCTTGTCCATTATATCCTGAAATTTATAGATGATATTGTCATTGTAATCTCTTTGAAGCAAAAACTAGGAAATAAAGCATGCCCGAGTAGTAGTTTGCTATTTCAAAAACTGGGAAATAAAGCATGCCGGGGTAGTTTGTTGCTTCAAAACAAGAACTTGAAGGATTTGATAAGATGTGGTTTTAGCAAAATTGAACGTAGAAATATAGCTGCATCAGTCAAGTAGCATCAAGCATGAGTAACAATGGAGTAATCAACCATTTCAAAGCAAAAAGCCCAAGTTGAAGGTAATTTTCTCTTTTATGTATACTGTGTAGCTGTAGAAGAGGCTGTTTGACATGATTTTTGATTTTGCTTTTGGTTCCTATAAAAGAGTTTTGAAGAAAGTTTACTTTAATTTTTGTTTGAAAACTAATTTTTAAAAGCATTTTTTATTCCAAAAGCACTTTTAGGAAAAAAATCACATTTGGATCAATTTCCTTTGAAAGCTCCTATAAATACCAAAAATACTTTCATAAAACTAACCAAAAGGGCTCAAAAGCAGCTTTTGAATTTCAAAAATTCCTTTCGCCTTTTTCAAAAGCCATGTGAAACGAATCTTAAGTCAAAGAAAATTAGTTTACTCCGAACTTCTTCGGGCGTGATTATATATGTTGGTATACCTCTTTCCTTCGCGCAAAAACCAGCCTTGAGCATGCATAATGTAGCCAAACTAGTAAAAACGACATTACATATATTGCGCACAGAATAACACACGGTGCCCAACTCCATTCTTAAGTGACAGCAAACAATGTACTTGAACGACAACCATCATGGGTGTAGTGACAACCATCATGGGTGTAGTGAAGGACTCATCAAGCATTTTGACACAAGTTTGTGAGCATTTTCAAAATCAAGAACAATTACATAGCCTAAAAGACAATTAATTTGCGGCCAAAACAGCAAGTTCATTAATTGGTAAAAACACAGCATGGTTGTCTTACTGGAGATGACAGACACATAACAGAACTTCATCTATCCCGCTCAATCGCCATAAACTCTGAAGCAAACTCTGGTCTATTCTCATCGATGCTTTTAGGAGGCTGATTGGTGTACTGGTCCCATCCCATGATGTGAGGCAATGCAAACTGCAGCAAAAACATGGAAAAAACTATATGATCGAAATAATAAAAACTTGCACATGAATTACATCAATCAAGTAAATGATTTTTCATGTTTTAGCAGATGATGTCAGGAAGGCAAAATCAAAAGAATTAAATTAGGCGCACACAAGGGGCTTACACCTTGTTTGACACTCGCCTATGTGTCAAAAATCTGGCTGTTGTTTGGAAAAAGTGTTGTCATAGAATTTTGCTAACTCACATGAGTGTCAAACAAGGTATACATGTAGCATGATTCAAATCAAAAGGTACCACCAAACAAGGCAATGACCTTATCTTCACGTTCACCACTAGAAGCATCTATCATATTTGAACCATTCTACAAGTACACTTTTTTACACACCTTTATTCACAGCACACAGACATGCAAGTTGGTGGGGACCACGATTAGGGTCCACGATTAAAATAATCGTGAACCCCACCTTTGTGAGGAAGTGTGAAAATTGATGTAAAAAAAATGATGTACAGATAGCATTTTTGATCATATTTTCATTTCTATTCACACCATTGATTACAAGGATAGCATTTTTCGAGCTGGTTGTGATGTACTCAACCTTTTCTTTTGGAAGGAAAACTCAAAACATTTCATGGAGAACAAATGCACCCACGACTAACAAACAATTCTTAACTCAAGCCTGATTCAATATCTAGAAGAAGCATGTTTTTGCTGAAGAACAAATGTACTCAAGCATTCTCTTTCATAGATTACAAAATTATTATAATAATCAAGAAATGGCGAAGATATATGTTAGCATTTCGTCCTCAACCTCGAGATACTCACAAACAGTACTAATTTTGCTCCTCATTTGGCCTCCATCTTTTGAAAATAAAAATGATTGGAATAGTATTTTTTTGAAAAATGAGTGATTGAAAAAGAAGGAAAAAATTTCGATTTACATGGAATATTAAGTAGTACTACACTAAGCCCCTGTTTGACAACCATGATATGGAGAAATAGAGTTTTGAATGGTGGTGGTTTTAGAGAATGTGTAGTTAAAAAGCAAGAAAAATTTTTAATTTACATGCAGAATATTTTATTGTATGAATGTGTGGTTGAAAATGAGCATGTAATAAAAAAAAGAGTTTGAAAATAATGGTTGTCAAACCGGAGCTAAATAATGTGAGAAATATAAAAGATACAGTGCCATACGTTAAAAGCTGTTCGCATGACTGCAAATTCAGCAGTAGGGACAAGGACAACAAACCGATCATTAGTTTTGAGGATATTGTTGACAACATCTGCAAAGAAAGCACGTGTAAGATAACAAGTATTCATCAGATGCTATATAAGATACTGACCAAATACCAGGAAGCCTAGAGAACACAGATCAAGATCATTAAATTTCTGTGTAGTTATTTGTATTCATAGCTGTGCATCTGGATAATAAATATCCACTCTATACTCAATATTCATCGTTGATGGTCATGATTATTCAATTAAACATCTTGATCAAGAATAGTGAATATTAGTATGTAATAAATGGACTGACTTAGAGAAATGAAGTAGCCACCACCGTTGTCATGTACCTTAATTGATAAGCTCTTCCTAACTTGACCTGCATTACTGTACAATTGAACTCACCACAAACTGATAAGCTCTTAGTGTAAAAAAAAAAAAAAAAATAGGGACAAGGACAACAAACCGATCATTAGTTTTGAGGATATTGTTGACAACATCTGCAAAGAAAGCACGTGTAAGATAACAAGTATTCATCAGATGCTATATAAGATACTGACCAAATACCAGGAAGCCTAGAGAACACAGATCAAGATCATTAAATTTCTGTGTAGTTATTTGTATTCATAGCTGTGCATCTGGATAATAAATATCCACTCTATACTCAATATTCATCGTTGATGGTCATGATTATTCAATTAAACATCTTGATCAAGAATAGTGAATATTAGTATGTAATAAATGGACTGACTTAGAGAAATGAAGTAGCCACCACCGTTGTCATGTACCTTAATTGATAAGCTCTTCCTAACTTGACCTGCATTACTGTACAATTGAACTCACCACAAACTGATATCCTTAGTAAAAAAAAAAAAAAAAAAAAAAAAAAAAAAACTTGAACAGCAGATCACAGAAAGATGTTTAGGAATTAGAAAAACCAACCTTGACAGCATCGATGGGTCATGGAAGAATTCACAGGAATCTTTTGGACCCAAACTAATTAGGGATCCAATCTCCGTGGCCACAAAGCAAAGGTCTACAACATATTATTATAAAAATCAGTCAAGCCATGGAAAGTGAGTGTGAATGCACGCATGCCTCTATATGTGAGCGTTCTTGTCTGTGCATTACAATGTGTGAGTGCATGAGAGAGAGAGAGAGAGAGAGAGAGAGAATCTTTTGCAAGTACATTATTGAGGTAACTGCAAAGAATTTTCAAAAAGCATCTTGAGCAAAAGTTACAAATGTCCTCGAGATTGCCACATCCTTCCAGAAGACTCCAGGTAAGAATGGATTGTTTTCACTCTTCACAGAGGCATTCAGGAAAGACTAGATATTTAGCCAAGAAAAAAAACAGATTACCTGTCTCTTATCCCAATCATACTTGCGCTCACCAATAGCAGGCCAGAACGTCAAAAAAAATGACACCACGGCGATCAACTCTGAAACCTCCAGACTACAAAAAATAAAGAAAGCATATAATAAGCATCCAACTCTGTAAAACTAAAGATATTGTCGGGGACAAAAAAGATCTCAGCAAAGGTACTGCTTCCAATTTACTAAATCTCGGAAGAATAGGGGAGGCAGAAAGTGCAGCCTTCCCCTTGTAAATTGAATAGGGTGCAAATATTTTAGCTGCAGATTTCCCTGAATAAACCAAAAGCAAAACAAAATTAGTGACAACTTCACCTCCCTGGAGAAGGGGAGAAAACATAGAATCATATGCCAAAATCATTTGATACCATCTGGCAAAAAATTTTGCTTAGCAGCTAATAGGCCAGCCTGGGTACTCATGCCATTCAACCATTGATGATCATTAGCAACTTCTGCAAATAACCTCTTCTGCCTATTTTCAGTCAACAAAAAGGGACATCAGTACAAATTAATTTCATGATGCTGAGAATATATAACAAACACGAACCACACTTTACTAAACTATAGAATTATTCAACAAATCCCGTTTTCTTCTTGACAAACTGACAATGAAAGGAAAAAGCATAACACTGCTTATAAGATAGGTACTTTTGTAAATGATGTTGGGTGGCTAGGCAGCCTAGGCCTACAGGTCTGATCGACAGGGCTTGATGGGCACAACAATTTTGTTTAAAATTTTAATATCCATTTCACTTAACATGAAATTTCATGAGAAAAAAATAAAAGGTCGCTTTGGCATCTCTATATTGATGCTATATTTGTGTGTCTTTCAAACCTTGACAGTTTAACACAAGATAGCCTGCACACCTTCCATGTTATTAACATGTTTACAATGTTGTAAGCATGCAATAAGGTTTGAATAATAATACAATATGAATCAATTGTTTCTCCATAACTTACTTCTTTCATTTATCCTTGTGGTTGCATGGTGGTATGCAGGGCCTAAAGGCCCTACTTTGGAAGAACCTATGCGGTAAGCAGTCAGCCGTTAAGGCGGTTTTTGATTCAATTTTGGCGGCTTTTCATTTGTTTTTTGGCACGACTTCGTATGGCCTTATTCCATGGCTACATTGCAAACACATGAGAAACATATGTAAACATATACTTTATTCTACAAAAAGGACCAATCTCCCTTTCTTCCATATTCAAACAATTCTCTCTTTTGTTCTTCAAGTTCAGGTGGAAAAATATTTTATGCTTTAGTATTTTTATGCAACAAAGCTTGATTAATGCTACAAACCGTTTGCCATAAAATCCTTGAAGCATCTCGTATAATCTGGAGAGGGGGTAAACATCATTTGAGGACGGCGAAATTATTTTCGTATTTAAGCCTTCATATTGGTTTTGATCTTCTTGAATTTCCACCTCTAGGTTTCTTCTCCAAACCTCGGTGTTGATAATTTTCCAACACTTGATGGGCACAACAATTTTATTCAAAATTTTAATATCTATTTCACTTTAACATGAAATTTCATGAGAAAAAAATAAAATGTCGCTTTAGCATCTCTATATTGATGCTGTATTTGTGTTTCTTTCAAACCTTGACAGTTTAACACAACATAGCCTGCAAACCTTGCATGTTATTAACATGTTTACAATGTTGTAAGCATGCGATAAGGTTTGAATAATAATACAATATGAATCAATTGTTTCTCCTTAACTTACTTCTTTCTTTTACCGCCTATACGGATTATACCACTTTTACCGATTGTGGTTCATCCTTTTACATCTATGCTTTAGCAAAACAATTCCCTTTCCTTTAAAGTTCAAGTGTACAACAATTGTGGTTTGCAACCACATTTCTCCAAAATTTGCCTATTCAATTGATAACATGAATTCCAAGTCATCTATTAGTGGAAACTTCAAATTGCATGGTATCCATCTTAATTCCAACAGATCTCATTAGTTCACAGCTAAATTACATTTAAAAACCCTTGTGACCCAATTCTAGTGAACTCTACCTATTCTGGTGAAGAGTGGATTCTGAAGTTGATTCTAGTACATCTGCCAAAACTCTAGATTAGCCGCTGCTCAAATTGATTAAACCGAAACCCAAAAGCCTGACCAGGCAGAGCAATATTGTACTAGGTAAGCTCAGTCTCCTACCTTATTTCAAACCAAGTTCTTTTCAACTAATAGGTACCCTGACCACACACTCCCCAATAACAGCTCAACTTCCCAACCTCCCATTGCCTTTCAATCTACGGTATCTACCCAACCCAATAACCAACACCTTCAATTTCCATCCTTATTCTTACAACAATTGCAACATAAATTTCCCAAAAATTTTGCATCCTTCAAAGAAAATAAATTCTTACCATGAAGAAGGCCTTGGTTCTATTAACAGCGTATACACAGAAAAATGGACACCAGACCATTAACTCAAGGCTTCTCAACAACCGGTTAGAAAAATACCCCTAATCTTTTCTCCAACTTTTACAAGGGAAAAAAAATCAAGTTAACATCATTTACTTTTTATTTTCAAGAAAACAGTGAAAGCACCAGCAAAAAACATTAGAAGAAGCGCTTAAGAAGTATACGTAGAGTCGAAAAGCAACTTCGATAGCTTCAACATTAAGCAAGAACAGGAGAATTCCTTATAGTTGTAGTTTCAGTACTCACTGCACTAATCTCAGAATTTTCCGAATACGTGTATTTTGCATAAGAAAAAGTGCAATCCTTTAATGGGTTTTGATCTTTTGAACCGCACTGGGTTCCATTTTTGTTTCTAATTTTGTGTTAAAAAAAAAAAAGGGGTTGAATCCAACCTTGGGGTCCCACCGTCCCGTCCCGTCCCGTCCCTCCCCTCCCCTCGCCTTCCCTAAAGTATCGTGAGGGAGGTAAATCATGAAATGCGCCACAGTAGGTCAGAGAACAAGAGATTGCCCGAATACTGGTATCCACAAAAAGTCCAATTTCATATCTCAGAAATCAAATTCTCACACTGCGACTATCAGTAAGGTTGAGACTATTTCACTCCCATTTTTTACACCATTGAATTATGTCCCGAGAGGCAAATATTTCTTATTCAGTTTTTTATCCTTTTTAAGCTCGGGATTAAAATCTAAATTTTAAATTAAGTTAAAACAACAACTAACTTTAATTACATATTTTATGAGGCATACAATTTTTTAATTATACATTTCATAATTTTTTATCAAAATTTATTAAAAAATTAATTTTAATCTCTATCAACCAAGAGCTAAATTGTTTTCCTGAGAAAAAGACCCTTTTCTAAATTTTGGAAAATAGCTTCTTTAAAAATTCTGAATGCTAAAAATAAATCATGAATACTTGTTGTATTAACTAGAAAATAGAAATTGATTTACAAAATCTAATGCATGCATGTCGATAATAAAGATTTTAAAAAATGTAAGGCGTGGAGATCGAGCTTCAATACTTAAGAGTCTAAGCTGAACTACGGGAAGATTAAACGTAATTTTTCAATATTTAATATTATTTTAGTTATTTTAACAAATAAATAAATAAAATAGTACATAGCATGAAATTTTATAAGAACATCATATATAATTTTCAATAAAAAAATTGCTCAAAGTTATAAATACTTCAAATCAATATTGTTTTGTTCGTGAGCAAAGAAAACTTGATTCATAGGCTAAACTTTGGACTATGATGAATTTTTTTTATTGGACTTATTTTCTTTTTATGTTTTAGTAATTATGAATAATTTTTTGAGATGAACTTCAAAATAAAAAAATGGAAAAATTGTAGCAATTGTTCCAAAGCTTTACATTTGTTGCAGACTTAACCTCAACACTCACTTTTTACCACCACAGGAACTAGTGAACCTTTGATAAATTTAGAGTCGAAGTCCATTTGGATGGAAACCTTCATATTTTCCGTTGACCCAAAAAAGGAAAGATGGAATATTTTGACCAATTTATATAAGGGTATTTTCGTCAATCCCATATTAGTAATTAAATTTTAAAAAAATGCCCCGTCGCCCCCAAACCCCCCCCCCCCCCCTCCCAAAACCAAAATCCTTCTTCTCTACCCTACCTACGCAAAATGAAATCAACCAGAAAATCCAACCCATTGCCACAACTAAGGCAGGGAAAATTGAGCCTTACAAACAGATTTTGCACTTGCCATTAATTTTCAATTTGATTATGCATGGAATTCAAACTTTCACACTCAATGGCAAGTGCAGAATTACGTTCCCATAGTTTAAGTATTTCAAGCTTCATGATTTTTTGAACAAGAAAGCTTGAAAATTGGTTCTGCTTATGCTGCAAAAGTCTAAGAGAGTAATTATAGGTGGAGGTGGAGGTGGATGTGTAGTGGTAGTGGTGGTGGTTTTTTCCCAAGATTTGGCTTGCTTCTGTAGTTGGAGGTGGCTCTCGTCTCCAGATCTGAAATGCATTCAGCCTCTTCGTCGATTGGTGATGGTGGTGGTGTGGTGGTTCTGCCACCTAAAATTATTTGGTTTACAATATCTGCAGTTCATTAAGGGTAGGTGGTGGTGGTGAGGATGTAGGTTGAGATAGATATGCCTTTTCAAATCAAACAGTTTGATAGGTGGAGGAGACAATGGATTTGAGGATGTTGCGATGGCGGTGGTGGTTCGTTGGAGGCAACGGCGATGGTCGCCTGGTTCCGATCTGTTAGTTGGTGGGGTGGAGTGGAGTGGGAAAGAAGAGGAAATCTCTTTTTTTATTTTTAATTTAATTAATTTTATATTTTATATTTACAATAAAAAAATACAAAGTTACCATCATGTCCCTTTAAAAATAGTTAAAATATGATTAAAATACCTTTTTTTGGTCAATTAACAAAAAAAGGGCATGAAGATGGTACCCCACATAATGAAAAGAGTGGTGGTGGTGAGGATGTAGGTTGAGATAGATATGCCTTTTCAAATCAAACAGTTTGATAGGTGGAGGAGACAATGGATTTGAGGATGTTGCGATGGCGGTGGTGGTTCGTTGGAGGCAACGGCGATGGTCGCCTGGTTCCGATCTGTTAGTTGGTGGGGTGGAGTGGAGTGGGAAAGAAGAGGAAATCTCTTTTTTTATTTTTAATTTAATTAATTTTATATTTTATATTTACAATAAAAAAATACAAAGTTACCATCATGTCCCTTTAAAAATAGTTAAAATATGATTAAAATACCTTTTTTTGGTCAATTAACAAAAAAAGGGCATGAAGATGGTACCCCACATAATGAAAAGAGTGGTGGTGGTGAGGATGTAGGTTGAGATAGATATGCCTTTTCAAATCAAACAGTTTGATAGGTGGAGGAGACAATGGATTTGAGGATGTTGCGATGGCGGTGGTGGTTCGTTGGAGGCAACGGCGATGGTCGCCTGGTTCCGATCTGTTAGTTGGTGGGGGTGGAGTGGGAAAGAAGAGGAAATCTCTTTTTTTATTTTTAATTTAATTAATTTTATATTTTATATTTACAATAAAAAAATACAAAGTTACCATCATGTCCCTTTAAAAATAGTTAAAATATGGTTAAAATACCTTTTTTTGGTCAATTAACAAAAAAATGGGCATGAAGATGGTACCCCACATAATGAAAAGACGTGAAAAGGGGTCAACCTGTTTTAACAAGTTATAATCGACATAGGCAGCTAAAGACGTGCCTAATGTGGGCCTATGCAGTAAACCACTTTTTTTAAGGGAAAAATATATAAATACGATACTTTAAGCATACAATTTCACATTTAACAAGTTTGCAAAAATATTAAAAAAATTATGGGATAAATTACATGTTATAAATGGTAAGTTTATTTTTGGATGATAATTGTACCCCTCAACTCTAAAAATTATTACCATTGTATCACTAATTCTTTTATATAATTATGAAATTTTGGTTCTCAATATATTATGCACAAGTATATTGACTTTTATTTTTTCTCTCTCTTTTTTTCCTTTTTTCATAATACAATATCAGCACGAAAGTTTAATTCTTAAAAATTTAATAAATGTAGTAATTTTTTATAAGTATAATTATCTATCATGTGTATCAAAATTAAGTTGGTAATATCTGATTTTTTATTTTTATTTTTATTTTTTGCAACCATTTGTCTGTTCACGATTAACCTTGTTGAACATAATTAGTGGTCATATTCTTTTTGCATATACATGGCATGGATTGTTTCTCTTGGCCTCCAGATTTCTTTAAGTGATATCAACCTGAATCTATTATAATAGGCCTAGCTCTTTGATGGCTGCAAAAAACATAGCATGGGAACTCGATAACAAACCAATAAGTGTTTGCATAATGATTGTGTCTGTATATGTGCTTGCATAATTGAGTCTTTTACGTTTGAAGTCTATTAACTGCATAACGAAGATATACACACACACACACACACATTATCTGTATGATAATTAATATTTTTAACATGATTAAATATTTTTAGATGTCCTTTTATAAATTTTAAATTGATAATTTATCATGTTGTTGTCCGTAAAGTAGCATAAGTTATAATTAATATTATAGAAGAATATTATTTGCTTCTGTAAATCATGTATTATAATTTTCAATATTCTAGAAAAATAATAATATGTTTCTTCTACAATAGCACAATATTACAATTAATATTCCTGAAGAATATTATTTAGTCTGGGCGCACTTATTTCTCAAAATTAAGGGATTTTCTGATGGTTGATGCGTCCAATGGCCACATTTCCACCAATTCTACTGACATTTCCATCAAATAGACCGACACCAATGTCGGCCACATTTTTTCCCTTTCTACCCCCAGAATCAACACGCCAAACCAGCCCACATTGCTTCACCCATTTGCGAAATCAAAAAGCAAGACACTTTTTTTCACTCATCCACTGGACCAAGCTGCCGACACTACTTGCTCTCTGGCGGCACCAATATCTGCTAATCTGTTATTCGACGATGAGGAAATATTCTCTCGACAACCATCCACAATTTCTAGAAGAGCCCAGTCGGTCCCACCCGGTTCTGATGACTGTTGCGGCGGGTTCATGGAGCCCCTGCCCACATCTTCCACCCCAATCTACCGTGATGAAGTTTGCCTTCTTTAGCCACCGGTACAAGCGACGTCCCTGTCACAATTTCATCCCGTAGATCCCTATTTCCGTGCCATGTTGTAGGTGAGCATCTGTTCGTTCGATCTCTAACTGCAATATACATTTGTTTGCAGTATTTGATTCACAAGGGCCTAGCATGCTTGTATTACATTTGCACTTGAATTTGAACCTGAAGAGGTGATCCCATTTACTCTGGCACACAGTCATCTAACTCTTGGATAAGAATCTGCTCACTGAATCCACCGACATGGATCCTTTTGTTTCTCCGGTACGGTACAGTGCTTCCAACATCTTCTTCATTGTCGCGTTGAACATAAATTGCGAGTAAAGATTGCTTCTGCTAAAATGAATAACATTTTTTTCGCCCAATTCGCAGCAACCAAATTATCACCTGCACTCCTCCACATTAAATGCCCAGCAGGTTGACAGTCAATCGGGGCCTCGTAAGCATGCACAATGGATTAACTATGAGACAAACATTTTTGTCGCTGCCTGTGAGACCCTAATCGTCGATGGACACCAAAATGGGAAGTGCTTCACCAAATACGAATGGCAGACATTGGTTCACTTATTTAACACTAACTCCGGGAACAATTGGAGCAAACAACAGTTAAAAAATCGATGGGATGCTCTCTGCCTGAAACATAAGAGATTTGAAGAATTGATCAATAGCAGTGGCGTCGCGTATGACACATCCACTGGCTTGATTAGCGTCTCGACGGAGTGGTGGGATCAAAAGATTAAGGTACCATCATGTATTCATGAACCTGTTTCTATCCAAATTTGGTTGAATACACACTAGCTATAAAGAAACTAATATGCTTGACATACACATCAGTGAGAAGTGAAGAAAAATAGTTTCGACTTCTTCAAATTTGGCTGAATACACACTAGCTGTAATTGTGTTCGTGTTTCATTTCCACATTTATATGTATGGGTATGAATGGTTCACATTTTTGTTATTTTCTGAAATAGATGCAATCCACACTTTTTTTTACAGTAAATTGTAACTGAGTCTTTCACACTTTGTTTGTAAAAGATGTGAACCCCGTTTGGTTTGTATTGTTGCAGGAGAAGAAGGAGTACAAAAAGTATAAGGACAAGGATTGCTGAGAGGTGTACCAATACAAGGTTTTATTCTAAGACATTCTCAACTACGATAAGTACACAGTCACACCTAGCTAAGCATGCCGCACTGGCTTTGTGATGTTTGAAGACAGTAGACACGAAGACCATCGTGATGAGATTCCAGTCGATATAGAGAGTAGCGGCTCAAGCGACGAGGGCGGTGTAGCCGCACCACCTTCCACAACCATGGATGAATCCAACCCGCATAGCGGGAACAAACGAAAGGCCATCGAGAAGCGAACGAAGGAGAAGAAGAAGAAGTTTTCATCTCAGGACGTGTCCTACTCTGTGGATTGTGCTACCTCCACCAGTGAGAAGATTGCTGCAAAAATTGACAACTTCATCGGAGCTACTGTGTCCGACCCGAAGACATGCATGAGCGAGTTATTTGCAATGTGTTGACTCCAGAAGCAAATGGATATGTACTTTTACACGCGTAAATTCCTTTCGCAGAAGGCCAATAGAGAGGTACTGGACATGCAAGACAATGCTAACGACAAGTTTGCTTGGGTGGAGTGAAGCTATCAAGAATATAGGAAAACACAGCCGCGGTCATAGCTATGTTTATGTAGGTTGCGTACATGTTTGTAGGACAAATTTTTCTTGCTATTGTTTATGTTTACATGTACTATGTTTGATGTGAAGACATTAAGTTTGTGTCTAGTATGTACGGGGATAGTTGCCTAAGTTTACTTTTTACTCCCAAAACCTTTTATTTTAATATGCGTGCCAAAAGGTTTGATTTTGGTAGATTACAAGCAGGTGTGCAGACAAGACTCACATTTGGATGTATGTTCACATTTTGGTCAAAGAAGTGCTCCATTAGTTGGTGGATAGATCACATCAGTCCCTTCTTCAAATAAATTATTGGTTGTGCTGGCCATAGCTTCAAAGACAAATCATTTCACTTGCCTTCTTGTATCAGTGCTATCGTTCTATAAAAGGCACATCAACTCTGTGGAAATTTACAACATGCAAAAGCTATAGTCTTGGATATCCTATTGTGATTGTGGTCGTATGGCACCTTCGAATTTCACCCGTGAGTTGCAACTGTTCTCCGATTTGGAGGACAAACTGGGTGACGAGGCATTCATGGAAGAATTGAAGGTGGACATTATTGAGTGGTTTTGGTACTGTCAAATCAATGAGGTTATTCTCAAAAACTACTATCACGAACAAATTTAATTCCAGGCACTCGTCCTGCAGGAACGTCATTGAACGTGCATTGGTGTTTGGAAAAGTTGGTGAAAAATACTTGATCGTATGCCAAGTTATGCGTTCGATGTGCAAACTATTGTTGTAATTACAACCGTGGGCATTCATAACTTCATTCGACGAGCAGGCATGGTAGATGAAGCATTCTTGAGAGTGGAGACAGACCATGATGTAGCAAAGGTGGAGCTCCCGAGCGCACGTGACGAAGCTTCAGCTGAAATGAATGCACCGAAATCACGATAAGATGAGTGGGACATGTTTAGAGATTACTCGGCACAACAATAAACAAGAATTTTGTGTAAAGAAAATTTGATGGACAAAATAAATTCACATTTCGATGGGACCCATCACGTATGCATTATTTCACCAAATTCATTATCATTACCGATCAAAAATGTTCTTCAAGGTGTCAGGGCACATTTGGAGCCATGTGGGAAAATTTGTCATTTATGCATGTACCAATGCATTGAATAAGTAAATTGTCTTCAAGTAGGACCAACGGATTTGACAGGAGAATTGATTATTCTATTTCTCAAATCGCACCCAGACGGGGGCTTACTTTTGAATAGCATGAAATATAATTTAATATTTTAGAAAAATATTGATAAATCGCATTTGAAGAAACAATAGTAAATCACAACATGCTATCGAAATAGCCCATATTTCGAATTATATATCATTTTAATCAGTGTTTATCTCCGAGAAAAACATATAATTCATGTCACGTTGACATTGACACTTGATTAATTATTATGCATAATGTTTAATCATATTATTCAAAATTAATTGTATATCTTTTGTTTTATCGTGTAGATAATCCAATTGTAAACGTCACAAAATTTAACTTTGCTCCACTTGGTATATTTAATAAAAACACAAACTGGACTGAATTGAGTTCAAATGACACGCATCTAGACCTGAAACTATTTTTTATCATGTAAGATGAGAACATGGATCAAAACAAAAGAGTTTGAATTCAAAAAAGTTGGGTGGGTTTTTCATCATACGTTCATTCCCTTTGATATTTAGGGAAGTTCGTTATTTGGAAAAAATTTCTGTCCCGTATCTATTTGAATTTTCAACGATGGATGTATTTTGAATCGAGATGCAAAAGAATCTATATTCCCCATCTTTCATTATTTTTCCCATAAATGAGGGAGTCTAATTAATAATTAAATTTTTCTTGAGGGAATATAAGGTTTTCATGAGGCTAATCTTGAGCTGTCAGATCAAGCACGAATATTTTTGGTGTAGAAAGTCTTAAATTCAGGACCTGTTTCCCCTTTTTTAGTTCCTATTATTATCTATTTTCTATCGTATATAGTGTCGTTGTATATTTCCATTCCTTAAGTCAGTTATCTTGAGCCACACATACATTGCTTTGCATTAAGCTAAGATTCTATTTTTCTCTTTCTTCAATGAAAGGTAAAGGTCAATTTTATTGTAGAGTCGTAAGCAATGCACAAAAGATAATGCCCTTAAGGTTGTATTTTGTTCTGATCTATTCATTTTTATGTTTCTAATCCATTAGAAGATCTTTTTTTTCCTTAGCTCAATTGTTTGATTACCTCATCTAATTTCCTTTCTCATTATTACGAGAAAGATACGTGATTCAGGAAATTTTTTGAAATAAATCTACGCTTGTTGAAGGTGAAGTTTGGAAATAGAACAATACCTTCTAATGTATATCGATTTGTTGTCGGTACTGAATAGTATAACATAGGAAGTTCTTTTATCCATACCGAATCCAAATTTGGATTTATGACCCAATCAATCCAAAATTCCTTTATTTATCATTTGTTTCCAAAAAATGTAGGAAAAAAGGGGGTTGTGCTATATATATCAAAGAGTGTACATCAATGATGTATTTGTTAAATCAAAGAGTTCTGCTTTGTGTACAACACTTGGTGCTGTACACTTTTACAGCCCCCTCACAATGAGGGGGACTACAAATTTAATATTCATATGGGGCCTCTCAACATGTGAGGGGGATGTACACCATGCTGTGTAGCATGGTGTACAAATAGATTTTCCCTAAATCAAATACCATGGTCTAATAATCAAGCATTCTGTCCATAAATAAAAATCATAATTATAGATACGGGCTTTTTCCACAGAAAAGAGATATCTTGTGTTACAATAGAAGCAGAAGTGATGTGGATTATTCAAGAATCAAAGTCGATTTGCTTTTATAACCATTAATATAGCGATATAAAATTTCGACTTCTTTATCACAATTCTAATATTATTAGTATAGTAAATCTTAAATACTTTTAGTTAGTCAAATTTTATTTTTCATTGATATTCATTGGATAAGAATATTCATAAATTGGGCTATTTTTAGAGCTCGCCTATGTTAATTGAAAGTAGAATTCATCATCTGTTTTTCCTTTCCATTCACTTAAATTTCTAATTTATTAAAGATTTTTTTTTCTTTTAAGCTATTTGAGAATTATCCAACTTGAGTTATGAGTATGAGTGGTTTCTTTTTCATTTCTAGGAAGGAAGAAGAAAAAAATGTCTTTGTCATTTGATCCAATATCGATTCGTTAGATAGGAACATATTTGATAAATAGTTCAAAGTTCTTCATTTCTTTCTTTTCTTTTCTTTTAATTTTTTGGGAAAATGGGGAGGGAAATGACAAGAAGATATTGGAACATCAATTAGAAGAGATGGTGGAGGCAGAAGTTCATTTTGGCCATGGTCAAGGTTTCATGATTACCTTGTCCCAACTTAAACTGAAGGAACTTATTCAATGATCACTAACTGCTTTTGGTCCAAAAGCTTTGGGGTTGGTTTTTCCAATAAACGTTGGTTACATTTTTTATGTTATTTGTACCAGTTGCCGGTTTATGGATGAGTGCTCTAGGAGTAGTCGGTTGGAATAAGTAGTTTAATTCCTTCATTTAGAACCGTTAACAATAAAATACTCGAAAAGGCCCACATATGACGAAGATTTTTTGTTGCCGTCGAAAAACTTTTCTTTTTTTATTCTAATTCTTCGAAAGAAGCTTATACAGTTTAGTAAGGGATTTTGATTGATCAAAAAGAAGAATCTACTTCAAATGAATGAGCATCTTGTATTTCATAAAAATTGGGGGCAATGTAATCCTTACATAAGGGCTATCCTATTCGACTTTCAAGCATTATGATACGTTTCAAGCGTAGATGATTATCATAAGAGATTCCCAACAACTGAAATTGACTATTACTCCGAAATGGAACTGTACATCCAGACGGGCTCTCTGCCCCTACGAGGATGGAGCGATAGAAGTGGAAAATGTTGGAACAAACCAAAAAAGTTTGGGTAGAGCTGGATCTAAAGATTGGCTAGGTAAGCGTCCTGTAGTAAAATGAGTAGTTATGAACCCTATAGACGATCCCCATGGGGGTGGTGAAGGGAGAGCTCCAATAGATAGAAAACATCCACAACGCCTTGTAAGACTTTAAAATTATTAATGAGTATAATATGTTTGAAATTGACTTTGTGTGAAGAAAAACCACTCATAAAAATATGTTGGAGAATTTTTTTTTACAGCTTTCATGCCTTGAATGGGCTATTGCAGTAACAAATCATAAGCGTGATTTAAAAAAGTACTCAAAACTCATATATTTCTTGCAGCTAAAAAACCATAAAAAATAAAATAAAACGAATTGCTGATAAAAATCATAGGTTACGTCCAACTGTTTTTGTATTGCCTAAACACAAATGATACTGCATTGCCTGAAATAAATGCAATATCAAGACAATGACATGGACATGGAATAA